CAGAAAAAAAATGAGTTTTTAAAACACTTTGCTGCATTTATTTTTCACTTTACTTTTTCTGTGGTTACTTTTTTTCACTTAACAAAATCAACAGATATGTAATTTGGCATTTGCACACAACTGTTTTGCATACAGCTGTACACCTGACATAACTACTTTCTTGTTTTTCAAAGATATATTTATGTAATATAAAGATATATATGTAATAGAACGCTCAAATTCGTACAAAAATCATACAAACATTTTAATATTTTACACACAGGTGAACCCCAGATACACTCTGTGAAGCCTTACACTAAGGCTGATCTCGTCAGTATCTCTTTCCCTGACATCATCCAGCATTACACACTATTGGCTGTTGATAACACTCCAGAAAACCCTCTGCTCTACCTGTATCCAGATATTCCGAAAGACATCGCCTTCGGACGCTACTACAGCAGCCTGGATGATGGTAAATATTCAGTCGCTGATGTCTTACAGAAGAGCTTTTGTGTAAGACGACACGTGTACATCTCTAAAGCGCAGGAACAGTTCAGTCAGCGCCACTTTGGGTGGTTCGTAGAACCCCCAACTTTACATATACTACAGAAGTATCCACAAACTCCATTTACTTGAATTCAGCTACTTTAAGGTGCTGACACGAGTGCTCAATGTATAATCTCCACAGAAAAGCATTGCCAATAGAATGGGAGAGCTGTCTATTCTCTGGAGTGATGCAGCTCCATCCAATACCTTTGGGATGTGCTAGTTATCCATAACTGCTGATCCAACATCAGTACCTAACCTCACTAATGCTCTTTTGGCTGAATACAATCAAATCCTCACAGCAATGTTCCAACTTCAAGTGTAAAGTCTTTGCAGAAGAGTAGAGAATGTTACTGCAGCAAAGGGGGGACCAACTACCTATTAATACCCTTGATTGACAGTGTACAAAATTTCTTAATGATCTAAATGCCTGTAGTGGACAATCCAAACAATAGAGGGACTGCCAAGTAAAACATGATGTCTGTGGCCTGGAAAGTGTGTCAGAGTGGTAGGACCAGCAGTAAGAGCAAATAAAAAAATGAAAATCTGTATTGATTTCAGTTGCAGAAACGATGGATGTTGATAAACCGATATGTCCCTACTTGGGTAGATGGATTCTTCCAGTGTCAGACAAGTAAGTTGTATTAAAATGTTTTGTGTTCTTTATAAAGTAAATGAACATTTTGAAAAAGCATTCAAGCTGATATTGTTCTACAAAAGTGGAAAAGTAATTGCTGACCTTGTCTCATCTCTCTAGTCCAGGCACAAGACCTTCGGATTGTATGAGCCCAGGGTCCCGTGGAGAGCTTCAGCTAATGAACAGAGACACTGGAATGGAGTCAATGGTAATAACTTATTGAGGCAGTAAGATGGGCACTATTTGACCCTACAAATAATGAATGACATTCATTTTGATGCTATTTATATTAAAATCTTTGTGGGTTCTTGTTTTTTGGAGTGACTTCTTAAAGGTCCAGTGCAGAAGACACTGGTTTGAGTAATGGCCAGCGCTTTTTGTGAATTTTGGGAGGACTGTGTTTCCACTTGTGCGTTGTTCCTCTGTTTCCTCCTCAGTGATCTACCTTACTACAGTGATGCTCCTTTTCCACACTGCTCTGAGCGTCCTGCTGTCCTTCATATCCTCTACAAGAAGGAGACCTAAGCAGTGGACAGTGAATTGAGAAGGAGAGGATGCAGTAATGTTTATACAGTATAAAATCAATGGGATTTGAATATTGTCACTGTCATATCAAAATCCTGTAATATTTTGTGTTTAATTTTTATTTTTCCATATCTTTTGTGCAAGACAGCCATCCTTTACATGGTGTGACCTTTTCATGATGAATGGACCAATAGAAATGGTCCAAAATTAGTTATATTAAAATCTTGTTACTCTAACTTAAGACCTTTTTTGCCTTCTGTATAGTTACCATTTTTGAGATGCATGTTTTTGTTAGGACAGTGACGATATGATTCCTACCTTACCTTCTTTTTTGTTGGAAGTGTTGTCTGGCGCCAGCTCTGTCGGAGTAGCACTGAAAAGGCTGGTGTCAGTCATTAGTATCACACAAGTGAATTTACCAGATTGTGTACAACTGTGAAAAGCTTTTTAATTGTGATTCTGTTACTGTGTCCTAAAATATAAGATGATGAAAATATTGCATTCCCACTTTGTTTGAAAAGCACAGCTTTATTTAATAGTGTACATTAAAATAAACAGACTTCATTGCATGGATTATTAGCACACATACACACACCTCACACTTTGAGCTCAGTCCAGTTTCATCTGATAAATAAAATCGGAACAGAAAGAGGCACCAGATGCATCCATCACGTTGTTCATTCAAAGTTTCTGTCTCATACTCATTCTGTCTATCCAGTGGTTAAAACAAGTAGGTAGATTCTTCCAAACATTATTTGTTCTGTGAGCTGGTTGTTCTGAGCTAATATCTGTTCGGCCTTCCACAGAACATAAATAGCAGATCATCTTTTAAAATTAATATTTTCCTAATGACTAATTTCCTGCAACCTTTCATACTGCTCACGCTGAATTAGTGTAGCAGTGGGTTTGGAGATATATGAAGAAACGAAAGCTATCAGATAAGGAGCGTGGAGAAAGAACAGAAAGCTACAAGCTTGGAAAACAGCTTTTGGCTCTGTCAAAATTAAAGTCTTGGGTCAATATCAGTGTAGGCTTGTGTTCCTTTCCGCCTTCTTTCTAACTCAGTCTTCCCAATTTAATTACTGCCAATTCCACACTATCTAGGCCTCCCTCTATCACACGATGCTACCAAGCAGGGAGCCTGAAGCTAGCACATGCTTCCTCTAAGACATGTAAAGCACAACCACATCTTTTCAAACTGCTGCATAAGCAACATCACTGGACAGCTCAATGCGCTCAGAGGAGAACACTAACTGCACTAACTGCCCAATTCTGTTACATTGTGTTTCCTCTATCATTGGAAAATTACCAGCTCACGAAATAGCAACAGACAAATAGTGAAGCAGCTGCTAATTCATCTGCATTTCAGTTTGTTTAACACAGGTAAGTTAACGTTAAGGTTTCCTATCTCTCAAACTGAACGTCCACACTTTTTACGGTGTACTTTGCACCTAATAATGGGTAGGTGTATAATTTAAGTAATAAATTAAGGCTACGTCAAAAATATTTTACTTGCTACAGCTGGTTAAATTTCAGTGGCTCATAACCTCGAACACAGTGGCAGTTAACATTCAAACTAACTGGGGCAACTGGCTAAAAGTGTTCAACAGAGGGGGCTGTTGTGGGGTGCTGGAGGTTGATGACAACTGGAAACCATTTTAACACCTGGCCCTTTGCTAACACCTAAGCCCACTCTAACCTGTTCAGTGGAACTTCTGCTAACCGCTGCAGGATGTGTCTCCATTCACACTCAAACACTCCTGAAGACCGCCTGTGCTAGACAGGCTTGCCTCATTCTCTTGGCAAAATGTCAGAAGTGAACAGACCCCAGCAGTGCTGGTTAACATTTCAGAAATGAGGACATGAAGTAAAATGATGAAATTTTTTTGCAGTTCATTAAAGATCAATTATTAGTTGTTTTGCACTGGGGTCCATGAGACCCTAGTCACGCCACTGCGCACGTTTCTCTGTTTATTTCTCCTTAAAACTGGCTGCTGGACGTTCATGCCAGTCTGTTACAAAATGCAAGCAAGAAAACAACAGAAACCTCCCTTCAGAATGAATGCTAAGGCATTTGGAATAGAAAACATCTTGAGTTTCATGAACAGATCCAGGCAGCCCCCCGATTCAAATTAAGCAGAATTGCACTCATAGTGTTCCTGGTCACTTTTGACCGGGATCACTTTATTCCATTATAAATCAACAATAATACACATATTATCACCTAATGTTGTGTTAGATCTTTTTATGAACTTCAGCTCTTGTGAACATTATAAGTTTTGAACTTGTATTTGCTGTTTATGTCCTGCAGGCCTCATTTAACTGAGCTCATACCGCTCATTTTTTTAGGGAAAAAATATTAGATACATATTATTTTGACTATAACAAATACTAAGATGAAACCTATTGTACTGTTTGTCACAGAGTACTCCACTGAAATGTTTACCAAAGTTAAGTTTTCTAAACTGTGGCACAAAATAACAACTTTTGTGTTCCCGGTCAAAACTGACCGGTATGATTTATTTATTGGAAACAAAAGCCCAAATGTACACAGGGAAAATTTAAGAGAAATGCTTGAACCATACACTGTATGGACATATTTACAATTTTCTATTGTGCTCTGAAAAGACAGTGCCATAATGTTATCCTTATGTTCCTCAGTTTTGTCCTCTCATGAGCATGTGGGGCAATACACTGTGGTCATTTCATGTTCTTTGCATATATATATACACCGCATCTGTGGCACACAAAGCTAGTGTTTTATCTCTTGGTGCTCACAGTTGGCACCTCTTTCTTTTGACTCCTCCTTCTCTGGTTGCTGTGGATGTGCTTGATATGTGCTTGAACTCTGTTTTATACACTAATTGTAGTCTTATAGATTCCAATAACCGGTCATTTTTGACCAGGAACACCATGGGTGTATACAAGTTCCATAAAACACACACATTTTTATAAAAATATTTCAGATTTATTTTAGGTTTTCAAATACCATGTGTGAACATGGAACCTCATGACAAACAGATGAAATTTACTACACTTTTTAAAGAGGAAACTTGTAAATCGGTCAGATTTGACCGGAACACAACAGGAGGGTTAAGTTTCTATTCACTCCTCGGTTGCAGTTTTTCACTCTCGGCGAGCTGGCAAAGGGAGCCTGCAGCGGGTAGCAAAGAGGGCGTGGCTACGAGACGCGCATTCACCGGTGATTGGCTGACGACCGAGAGACAAGCATTCATCAAAAGTGCTGCATTTTGACTGGTGGAAGCGTCATATGGGTGGAGCCCCAAGTCAGCCGTGTCCATGTCTACTCAGACAGTTTAGCAGAAGAAGCGTGAGGATAAAACGCACTGCAGGACTCGCGAGATAAAACAAACGCCAGCGGCTGGATCCTTTTCCCGAGGGGACATTTTAGCCTTTTCTTGTCTTTTTTCCCGGACTACAGGCCGCCGTACCGCTGTGTGAGGTGAGTGTTTGTAGTGGTGAGTTTTTATGTATCTAAAAGAAGCGTGAATGAAGTTTTAAGGCTGGAGTTAACAGTGGACAGCTGTGTGTCTCTGATGGCATCATCTCCTTTATTTTCACTGGACTGAATGTACCTGTTTATAAATGGATTAACACGTTTGGCAGAACCTACTTTCAGTGCACTAATTAAGGCAACTCGTTATAATTACTGTTATTGTTTATGACGGTTTGTGGGAGGTGGTAGTGTTAAATGTTATATTAAACATAGTAGAATTACTATGAATACAATCAAGATAACAGAAAGGGTTATATTACTATAAATGCATGCACATGTGATCAAATATGAGACACAGAACCACTTCTATGCGGTGGCACTATTTTTACTCACCGCAGTATTTCTGGCATTAACATTTGACCACAGATCCAAATGAGTCCAGTTCTGACTGAATTTTATGAGTTAACTACGCAGCTGTGCTGGTTGCTGCTTATCAATGTTCAGGAGCTGCATCTCTGACCACCACCGTGGGAATAGTACATGATTTAGACTGGACGAGCCACTGGAAAGAAGAAAAAAATCTGGTCTCATCTCTATAGTTTTCAATCTCAGTATAACATAACCATAAAAGCCTACAGCTACAGACACACCCCTGACATCTCACACAAAGTTTTTGCATTGTGGGAAGTCCCTAGTTCTCACTAACAGGCCTTCAGGAAAGTCAAGGAGGAACTCAGTGCCATAGTGATTAGATTATTTTATAGTGGAACTGAAAAAAAAACATCTGTATTTTGTAGGAACTGTCAGTCATCAAATCACCCCTAAGCCCTAATCAGACATGGTACAACCTAACCATGGTGGAATGCTTGTGACTTTGAGTCCTGCCACACCTCCTTCTGAAGTGATGAAAACAGAGAGATTATTTATTTTTTGATTCACGCTTTTTAAGTGGACAATTAGCTGAGAAGTGTTTGAGCTGCTCATGAATCCCCCTTTTGTTTGGTGTATAATTCTTCCTTTGTCTTTGAGTCTTGCATCACAGCTTACTGAAGCTACTCAAGTGTTCATCCTCTTATATCAAGAGTGTCCAAATCTGGTCCTGATGCTCTACCGTCCCGGAGAGTTTAGTTCCAGCTCACGCTTGGATCTTACAGTACTGTGCAAATGTTAGAGACCAGCCTTAATTTATTTCAACTGCCATTATGCAGTACTGCTTTTTACAGTGTAACATAAACATAAAAAAACATATAAAAGTTGCCATAACTTTTGCACATCCCACATTTTATTTCTTATTTTTTCCGAATATGTTAAATTCAGCACATAAACAGTAACTGTGCATTAAAGTAAAATATTAACTTATTTTCACTTAGAAGATCAACAAAATATGTCATTTCACCAGGGATGCCCAGACACAAATAAACTCATGAAACCTGTAAGCTATATGCATCAATAGCAAACAATAATGTAGCAGGGAAAGAGAACTATATATCACAGTTGTCGGAAGAAAACCTCGTATCTCCAAAATGGTAACTTTACAGGAGAAGGAAAAAACCTACTTAACATTTAATGTAAGTCAATGGCCAGACTTTTTTCCAAGTCATTTTGGGATGTTTCTTTTGGTCTATTCATCATGAAATTTACACACAATGTAAAGGGCAGCAGGCATTTTCAAATTATGATAAAAAACTAAAAAAACGACAAAAATGGAGATATAAGGTTTTCTATGACAGCTGCGATATACATAATTACCTGCCACATTTGGTCTTTCAGTTAAACATTGTTTTTTTATTTGTCTTTTGGTAGATGGCACTTTGGCACCAGCTTCAACAGCTGGATTCTAGATATCTAGAGCAAGTTGACCAGCTCTATGATGACGCATTCCCCATGGAGATTCGCCAGTACCTCAGCCAGTGGATAGAGAGCCATGACTGATGAGATATGATCTAAAGCCTAAGTTCATACAACTCAAACAATGAGATGTTTTCAAAAGGTTTTCCCTCAGATGAGCTGTTATAGGCATATGTTGTGTTGAGGAAGACAAAAGAAGGTAGAGGAGAGGGGAGAGGAGAAAGAAGAGAGGAAGCGGGGGATGAAAATGCACTGTTGTAACTACTCTTTGTTCACTAATTACAGTATTTTGTGCTGCAGCTCCAGTAAAAAAAAGTATTACACAATTTATTATACACTATTCATTACCACTCTCTTTCAAAGTGCTAATGTGTAAAGTGCCTTCACCATTCTTCCTGAATTTTAGTGGCATCACCATACTCCCTCTGAGCTTTAGTGTCATCACCATACTCCCTCTGAGCTTTAGTGTCATCACCATACTCCCTCTGAGCTTTAGTGTCATCACCATACTCCCTCTGAGCTTTAGTGTCATTACCATACTCTCTATAGGCTTTAGTGTCATCACCATACTCTCTATAGGCTTTAGTGTCATCACCATACTCCCTCTGAGCTTTAGTGTCATCACCATACTCCCCCTGAGCTTTAGTGTCATTACCATACTACCTCTGAGCTTTAGTGTCATTACCATACTCTCTCTGAGCTTTAGTGTCATCACCATACTCCCTCTGAGCTTTAGTGTCATCACCATACTCCCTCTGAGCTTTAGTGTCATTACCATACTACCTCTGAGCTTTAGTGTCATTACCATACTACCTCTGAGCTTTAGTGTCATTACCATACTCTCTCTGAGCTTTAGTGTCATCACCATACTCCCCCTGAGCTTTAGTGTCATTACCATACTACCTCTGAGCTTTAGTGTCATTACCATACTCTCTCTGAGCTTTAGTGTCATCACCATACTCCCTCTGAGCTTTAGTGTCATCACCATACTCCCTCTGAGCTTTAGTGTCATCACCATACTCTCTATAGGCTTTAGTGTCATCACCATACTTCCTCTGAGCTTTAGTGTCATCAACATACTTCCTCTGAGCTTTAGTGTCATTATCATATTCCCTCTGAGCTTTAGTGTCATTACTATACTCCCTCTGAGCTTTAGTGTCATCACCATACTCTAGGCTTTAGTGTCTCTACCATACTCTCTCAGTGTTTTAGTGTCATTACCATACTCCCTCTGAGCTTTAGGGTCATCACCATACTCTCTCTGAGCTTACACATCATCACCATACTCTCTCTGAGCTTTAGTGTCATCACCATACTCTATCTGAGCTTTAGTGTCATTACCGTACTCTTTCTGAGCTTTAGTGTCATCACCATACTTTCTCTGAGCTTCAGCGTCATCACCATACTCCTTCTGAGCTCTAGTGTCATCACCATACTCTCTTTGAGTTTTAGTGTCATCACCATACTCTCTATAGGCTTTAGTGTCATTACCATACCTTCTCTGAGCTTTAGTGTCATTAAAAATGCAATGATCTTCTGTGTAGGAGCACTTCCAGGAGTTTCCTGTGTACATGGCCATGATTATATCCAACTCTCTGAAGGAAGAGAGGAAGATTCTGGAAATGGCTATCCAGACACAGGTATAGTATATAGGATATTGTGTGTATCATGTTCTTGGGTTCAATAAATGCTTTTCAAATCAAGCATTTGGCTCTTCTGGTTACAGTTATTAGACCATAAAAATGGTTTCCTAGTGAGTAAAGATGATGAAGATGATAAAGATTATGAACATAAACATAACGAATGTGTTCCATGTTGGTTTCAATGCTAGGAGCATGCAGGATCATCACAGAGCAGTGCTGCGATGGAACAGCAGAAGCAACTGGACAACCAAGTGAATGACCTGAAGAAGAAAGTGCAGGTTAGACTAGCAATGCATTCTAAGAGTGTAGAAACAAGGAGGTGGTCATAATGCTATGTCTGATCGGTGTATGTGTGTGTTTATATTATGACTCACTCTTCTGCATTTCCTTGATTTGTGCTGGATTAATCATTTCATATCAGCACTTTCTCCTCTGACCTCAGAATGTAGTGAACCTGAAGTAGCTTTTTGAATCTACGTTTGCTATGTGTGTAAATAAGGACTTAAATTCACCAGGAGACAGAACAAGACATTCAGGTCCTGGAGGATCTGCAAGACGAGCATGACTTCAGGAGGAAAACTTTACAGAGTCGGAGTAAGAGAGCATTTCCTTTTGGCTGTCATTTTGGCATTGTTTGTTATTTTTTTGTCAAGCGTTCAATTGAATCATATTTTAATTCATTATTAAAAAAAATGGCACAAAGCAAAGTATATGGCTAGTTTGACCTGTAGATTTCTTTACATCAGACATGCAAAAAGATAGTTCTTCAAGGGTTTATCAGTAAAGAAAATAGTTCTATATGGAACCTTGAGAACCATGATTAAAGGGTTCTTTGCATGGTGAAAGGGTTCTTTGTATTGATGGAGAAAATGTTGTATATGGTTTTATATAACACTAAAAGGGTTCTACTATTGTTATGATGTCAAGCTTGTCACAGTAAAAGAACCGTTTTTGGTGCTATATAGAACGCTTTTCAAAAAAAGGTTCTATATAGAACCATCTACAGCACATTCTACATCAATTTGAAGAACTTTTTCACCATACAAAGAACCGTTTAATCATGCAAAGTTCTATATAGAACCATTTTCTTTACCAAAAGCTCTCTTATGTAGGTGTGCGCTACATAAAATTCACATAAACATGCCATGGCAGAGGTCATATGCTGTCCAGTAATGCAGCAGCGTCATGTTACCGTTATCATTAACTTGTTTGATGTCATAATGACTAAATTAGTATGTGGTAACTCATAACAGCATATGACATCTGCCACGATGTTTATGTAGCAGCAGTGAAGTGTTAGCTTTTTTGAGTAATTGACAGACAAATCTGACTCTATTGTATTTTTTATGGTTTCAGTTGAGGTTGAAATGAATGCACACACAGCAAAAGAGATCCAGAGGGAGGAGATGATGATCAAGGAGATGTTCTTCAGACTGAACAAAATGAGAGAGGTAGGCCAGTTCTGAACACAGCAACACACCTACTCTAGTGTTTTGACGTCTGGGATCACTGTTTTCAGTCATATAAAACCAGTTTTGTTGCAGAAACATGTATAACATGTTTCTAATGTGCTGGTCCAGAGCAGCTTCACTGGTTTTACGTAATTATTGAATACTAGGAAGCTGTAAAGAAAAAAATAAAGAAATGTTAGAAGTGTCCAGAATAATGAAGGGAGCTGTAGAAGATCCTACAGTGACTGAGAGGGAATAAGGATAATAATAATAAATACGATTCATATTTGATGTAGTGGAGATCAAAAATATGCAATAGTTTTTCCCATTTGACAAAAAAAAATGGTTCCTCTTTAAAATTTTACAAAAGATGTTTAAAAGATCAGTTAATATCTATACTGTAGTTGTTTTGTCTCTATGTATTGCTGTTTACATATCTCTGGTTTATTTGTTTCACTTACTGTGATATCTGTTATATTTATTATATAAATCTGCATTATTTCACAAACATATGTATCTATTAATATCATATACACACACCCATATATATATATATATATATATATATATATATATATATATATATATATATATATATATATATTCTTGGTGGATGCCCTTGTGCACATACACAACACATATATATGCTTATACATCTACATATTTTTGTTTTATGTCGATATTTAGGTTATTTGATGTTTGTCATTGTTGTTTCGCATATTATTCTGTATTTTTCATAATATTGTGAAATTTGAAATTTTTATATTTTTTAGATGGAGTCTTTATATAAGCCTATTAGGTTTTTTGTCTCTCCTTGCACTGTATGTTATATTATCTTTGTTTATTTGTGTGTATTTTAAATTGTGCAAATAAAAGCTACAAATAAACTACAAACTACAAATATCAAGGCAGATAACTGACAAAAAGATGAATGTAAACAGATAATTATAGTACATCATTTATAATTTAATATCATTTAAAAATTCACAGAAGTTCACAGAATTCCTGAAATATTGTATGAAACATATAAAAATACATTTTGGTGAATGATTCGTAAAATTTTAAATCAGCATTGTGCGAGTTATTCAGTAAAAACATTAAAAACTTCTGCAAATTTTAGTTCATAGTTACTGTTAATTAGCTGAATTTAACATATTGGGGATAAAAATCATGAAATATAGCCTGTGCAAAATTATGGCTCTTTTTTCAATTATGGGAAATTGTGTACTTAAATGTGCAGAAAAATGACACTTATTTTCACTTAGAAAATGGAAAAAAACATGCAGCAAAACAGACGTGTTCAAACTATTGCATACAGTTGTGAAATGTCAAAACTGTTAATATGGGAAGTGATTCCAAGCTCCATGATCTGTAACAAAAAACACTGTGCAACTCCAACACAGTGTTGAACTATTTCAGTGTTCAGTTCACATAAACAGAACCAGATTAGACCGAATTTATCTCTGTAGCAGCTCAAATTGAGTGATTTCACTGTGAAAGATAAAGACATGCTGGGCCTGTGGATGAACCTGAAATGACTGTGAATGTGCTCCATCACTGAACTGGTCAGTGTGTTGCTGACAACAGAGTGTAAAAAGAAATGAATTGTGTCTCAGTGTATGTGTGCAGGCAGGGTGTTTGGAGGCTGGCTTTAGGCCACTGAATCGTATTGCTTAGTAATCATACACATTTGAATTTGTGTGCAGGTGGTAGTGAACGAGTTGGTAAATTCACTGAAGTTAGCAGATCACATCCAGTTCATGCTGATATCCGTGGAGATTCCCAAGTGGAAGCGGAGGCAGCAGATGGCCTGCATCGGAGGACCCCCAAATGCCTGCCTGGACCAATTACAGAGCTGGTGAGAACCTCTACAGGCACTGTTCATCACATACAGGTCTGCTTTTGTGTTAAAGGAATATTGTTTTACTGTGCTGATGTGATTAGAAGCACCTTTAGCTACAAGCAGAGAAATACATTTTAAAACATGTTTTATTATTAAAAAAAATAATGATAATGTAGAGGGAAATTGATACTTTACAAGTTGGATGAGTATCTCTTCACATGAGCTAAAACTACAGCTTACTGGATGCTGAGGATTTGTTGTCTTTAAATGAGGTATGTTCTTTCACTGGAAGATGTGCCAACATGTTTGTCATAGAGATATATGTTTCTGTTTCTGGACCTAGCTAACCTCAGCTAGTTACACCAATTAGCAATAAAGGTGCACTACGTCTGCCCTCTCAGTCTCGTCCTTAACAATGTGTCTTTGGCAACACGCTCACGTTTAGGCACTCGTGTCTCAGAGTGTGTACTGAATCACAAATACAAGTAAAAATGTAAAAAAAGCCTTTCTACCGCTCTGTTAAAACAGCAGCACTTCATTTATTCGTCTGTACATTTTCTCCGTCTTCCCGTGATGAAATCAGAAATCAGAAGTACCCAAATAGTGATTTCAGTATACAGTGGCACTTTGTACAGTTAACTACAAGGGACTTGAGCACTCATGCACATCCCAAATTATCATCATCATTATCATATTATCATTAAATTATGCATTACATCATGCAGACGTACTGTCTTCCCCGTCTTCTAAAGCTAGTCTTTAATTGTTATTAATTGTTAAAAATCTTTCAGTAAGTCTAAAAATCACTTCAGAAAATAAAAGAAATAAAGTCTTTGTGGGCCTCTGACTCTTCAGAGCCCTTGGAATCATCCTAACTGGTTAAACTCTATTATTCGGTTATTACTCTTAAGATTGTTACTCAGTAACTACTGTGAGTCATTCAGTAATTACTGTGAAACTAATATGTAGTATGTTATGTAGGACCTATCAATGGGTCCTTTATAATTAGTTATTCACCAGGGTATATTTTGGTTTTTCCATCTGAATTTACATGACCAAATCGTTAGGGAAATTATTCAGTAACTGCATGAAGTAAATGTAAATTTTTATGTTATTTATTTTTATGATATTTATTTTTTGGTAAAAGCTCCCCACAAATTAACAGAACCTGTTTTATGATCATACACATATTGCTATATGCTTACAATTTACTGCTGAAAGCCAAAAATCTTAGACGCTCTTTGTATTATTTTATAAAAATAATTTTTACAGAGCAGATCACTGAAGAGACGCCATCTGTTTATAGTTTATAGCCCAGATTTATGGAAAAATGGGTCGACTTTCAGTAGAAAAAAAAATTCAGAGTTCAGCTTCTTTTATTATAAGGATTTAAAATTACATTACGTATCTATTTGACTGGAAAGAAGACAGTTACAGCTCTCATATGACACCCACCTTTTGAATGTAGCTTATGAAATATGAAAGTTATTAAGAATATGATGAAATGCGTTTTGGGACCACCGGTGGTCCCAAGGAGTTGAAAAGGTTAATTATTTTGGTAACACTTTACTGTAGGCAGTACTTACAAGGCTACATGACACATACATTAAAAAATGGCTCATCAGATCAGCCTAAAAAATTACTTCATGTGGTAACAAGCAATTAAACTAGTTTTATTTCACCAAAAATTACATTGATATAATATTGATTGAAAAAATCATTCATTCAAAGTATTTATATGGGTTGAAAAAATTAATTTACTTGTTACATGAAGTCATTTTTAGGTTGATCTGATGAGCCACTTTTTACAGTGTACATAACCTATTGATCACAACTGACATAAACCTACAGAAACATTTAAAAACATTTGTCATGAAGGTTGTATTTGCAAACTTTGATGTCAAGTTGACAACAGCTATGTCAGACAACACTGATTTTTTTCTAATATTAGATTGTGTTTTGACGCCTTCTTTGATGACAAAACATAGACTTTGTAGCTCCGCTTACGCTACTGTGACTTAACACTCATGATATGACATACATTGTCAGATTTAAGCTATTTCACATCATCGGTATTACGTCAATGTAAGATACACTAAGCTACAAAGTCAGTTGTTATTACATGCTATGTCATTTCACTCAAAAAGGGTCATGACACGTCCAATGTCAGAAAACATTGATGTCACCTGACAAAGAGCAGCATTCATGACAGATGATGCCTTTTGGAATAAACCGTGATTATGTAGCTTATGTAGCTAATGATGAGCTATGTAGGTGTCATGTAGCCTTATGAACATGGCTGTACAGTCTTGTCATTATTTCAACCATAAACTATTCCATCACTACTCAGTAAGTAAAGGTGGTGTGTACCTCAGGTTCACAGCACTGGCGGAGTGTTTGCAGCAGACGCGGCAGCAGCTGAACAAGCTGCAGGAGCTGGTGCTGAAGTTCTCATACGACAACGACCCCATCACTCTGGGCATGAGCACTCTGCAGGAACAGGCCCTGATGCTCTTCAAAAACGTGCTGGTCAAGTATGTCGTTCATTGTGGGTTGCAGAATTAGAATATGGAAACTGGCTATGCTTTGTGGTCAGAGTCACTGCTGAGACATCATAGAGTAGTGCAGGATGGAAGAACTTGTGATGTGTCTTTCAGTTCCATTGTGGTGGAGAGGCAGCCCTGCATGCCCACGCATCCCCAAAGACCCCTAGTGCTGAAGACGGGCGTGCAGTTCACAGTCAAACTCAGGTACAGCGTTAAAGCAGACTCCCTACTTATGCTCTACTGACAGCGCTCAGAGTTTAAATTCAGTCTGACGCGAATTAACACAGCAAGCACTGACTTTCTAGCCAGACTGACAATAATTTACTAAATTCACTGAAAAAAGGTGCTAATAAAATAACATTGCTAATTAAAGGGAAACCATATACAGACGTATGGATGTACATTTTAACACCCCAGTCAAATTAGTTTTGTTGAGGGGAGTTTTCTGCAAGTCTGCAGAGTTAAAAAAACTTATTGAAAAAATTAAGCACAAAATATTTAAATTAAATATAAAACATATGCCATAACTACTCTTTATGTTTATTGGTTCCCCAACAATGTAATGTAAATTCAGCAAATAAGCAGAAGTTACAAGACTGACATTTTAACAACTGAACAATGTACTAGAATAGATTTCGCTAGAAGAGTTTAATAAAAGAAAGGCACTTTTTGGTGCTCTGTAGAACCATTTTCAGAAAGGTTTTATGTAGAACCATATACAACACATTTTCCACCAATCTAAAAAAACATTTCATCATGCAAAGAACCATTTAAGCATGAAATGATTCTTTGAGTGTTCATGCTTCCTTGTCTTTACTAAAGAACCCTTAAAGAACCAAGAGTGTGTGTTTAACAGATTACTCTGTCCACAGGCTGCTGGTCAAGCTACCAGAGTTGAACTGTCAACTTAAAGTCAGTGTCTCTTTTGACAAGTAAGTTGAGAAAAATAAAGATCAGTAACATCTACATTTTTACATGTTTTTATTGATAGTAGATAATTAAGTATTTATATTGTACCTCTTCTTTTATTTCTTCTCCACAGGGATTTAAATGAAAAGAACACAGTGAAGGGGTATGTGTTTTCTGTTTGAAATAAAGGTAATAAAAAAACACAAAATATATCTGTCTTAATATAAATTGTGTGCTCCTGCAGATCCCGTAGATTCAATATTCTGGGCACCAGCTCGAAGGTCATGAACATGGAGGAATCAAACGGATGCTTGACTGCTGAGTTCCGACATTTGGTATGAACAATACTCACATGGCTATTTCAAACAGCTAATTTATTCATTCATAAATGCATGAATTAAAACAAGATTGTCTACATCACAGTATAAATACTCAACTACATTTCTTTTTTTACACAGCAACTGAAAGAAGCAAAGTCAGTTGGAAGCAGAACAAATGAGGTTGGAAACTTTTTATGCTGTCTATACAGCATCTTTCATAAGTTAAAACTGCAGGTTGATGCCACAAATGTCTGTTTCATGAAATGTTTAAGACGTAAACAAAGCTATTCAGACTGGTTTGATGTGAAATGCTCCATTCTTGAGAAACTCATTATTAATTCTTGAGTCAGAATTGTTCACAATGATGGCGATAGGAACCGAACGTCTGCTCTCTAAAAGCTAATGTTACCTCTCCGAAAGTTCACACCAACAGGTTTTTAAAAATATCTGTTTAATGAAATGGTTAAGATGTAAACAAAGTCATTTAGAGTGGTTTGATGTGAAAAGCTGCATTCTTGAGAAACGGAGCAGTGCAATAATTAAGAAGTCAATCCAGGCAGGCATTTCTACAGTGCTAGAAAGTGTTATTTGTGTGGTTGTCATTTTCAACAAGACACTATAAGCATTTCTAAGACCATCTTCATTTTTGTTTTCAGTGTCAGCAAAGACATTGTCTGTGATAAATAGGACGCTTAATTACCTACTTACAGCAGCAGATGTTTGTGCTGCGCAAAAGTCAGAGACCGACACAGCCATTAAGTACAAGTTATTCATTTTCAGCAGATATTTCTGAGGAGTAGATATTAGATAATCCACTTGCATAAAGTGGAGTTCAAAACAATGACTCACAGATAAGAGAAAAACAATCATGTACGAGGTGGTAGACATAAAACTGTCCCCACCAGATAAACAGCACTTAAAGCTTTAACCTTGAGAGAGTGGAGAAAGTTAAGCTCCACTCTCACTTCAGATCTGAAACAACCCACAGGTGTTTCTGTCCATCCTTCCACTGTGAGAAGACAACTTAGTGCTACGGGTGTGAAAGGATGTGTGGCTGACAAGAAGCTTCACTGAGAAAGGAAACAAGCAAAAAAGAAGAGAAGTCGCAAATAAAACAAAGCAGCTGCTAAATGGGATCACCGTGTTTGGGATTATGTGGATCATGAGAAGCAGAAAATGCAACCAACTACTAGGACTGAACATTGGTGTGGAAAGATATCCCTGCAGATTTCTTCAAAAACTGAAAGCAAATCTTCTGATGAGAATTGAAGCTGTAATAAAGGCAAAGGGTGGAAAATGTAAAGTATATTTAGTTGTTGAGGGTTTTGTGTAATTTTCTGTTAAATATATATTTTTTGCTTTTTTCCTGATGCTGAAAAATGACAAACTTCTACTTAAGGACTGGAAATTGAATTTAAATAAATGAAGGGTGGTCTCTGACTTTTGCACAGTACTGCATATATGTGCTGGGGGTAGTTTGTGTGTACTTAGTGAGTGTTACTGGTTCTTTTTTAGGCCCCTCTTCTCATCACGGAGGAGCTCCACTTCATCAGCTTCCACACGCAGCTCAATCAGCCTGGACTGTGCATTGACCTAAAGGTGAGAATAAAGCACACTGTCCCTGAACACATACTCCACTGGCCTGTTTAGCTCAGCTACAGCTCGCACACGTTGGCCATTCACACATACAGTGTTCACACAGCATATTGAACAGACATCCTTGATAAATTGGGACTTAGGATAAATTAGGACTCATATCCTATGATTTGTGATTTTCTTGTATTCTATATTGTCCCTGAGGTCAACATGAGTAGTGGTGATGTCTCCTACCAGCCAGCTGCCAAGTGCCTGGGCCTCCATCCTGTGGTATAACATGCTCTGCACCGACTCTCAGGTAGGAGCTGTTTTCCAGCAGTTGTCTTCCTGCCCTACATTCATCCGCTCAAACATCATTTCAGTCTGTCTTACCTCACTTTGCTGCTGGAAGGTTTATTCTTAATGAATTCTGTTTCAGAACTTGCCGTTTTTCCTGAACCCTCCTCCGATGAAGTGGGGTGAACTGGCAAAGGTTCTGAGCTGGCAGTTTTCCTCTATCACTAAGAGAGGCCTGAACGCTGACCAGCTGAGCATGCTCGCTGACAAACTGCTCGGTGAGTCTCATGTTCTTGACTGTGCTGAATAATGTAAACTGTGTTATGTGAACTTCCCCTTCTCCCTAACCCCAAATGTAGCTAATCAGCCGAAACATACATGGTGTCCAACATTTGCTTCTTTAGTTGTGCACTGGAGCTGCAAGGGTAATGTAGCTAACAAGCAATGGAAATTAATGACCATCTGCTATAGCATCATACAGACTGCATGACTGAACCATCTCACATTTGCCCTTAAAACATGCTGAGTTGTTAAGCAATCTCAAATATACTTGGTTATGTGGTTTCTGACACTGTTTCACTTTTAGCTATGAAACATAGTAGGTTTTTTTTAGCTAACAGTGTCATTTTAGAGGGTCTGTTTCAGATGACTTAGCCCAGTTTGGAACCACTTGCTATATTAACATTTTGGGTTATTTTATTTCATTAATAACAATTAATATACAATGTATATTTTAATATTACAAACTATTTGGCAAAATGTTATTTTAGATTTTTTCTATTCAATATGTCAAGAATTCTGTGAACAAGAAGTGAATAAAACAGTAAACAATATGCTGCAAATTAACATTTAAATTATCAATTATCTGTAATTGTCAGTAATCCTCTTATTTGAAACCTATGATGTTATGCAGGACTAGAATATTAGAAGCATTTATACACTTACCTGCAATCAAATTTGTTTTATGTTGGTGAAAACATTGATTTCATACTTCTGAATACTAGAGTAGGCATGCAGTTTATATAAGGATCATTAGTGGGGTTTAACATCCCATTACTTGTTAGTTACATTAGCCTGGTAACTCCAGTGCGGAATTAAATAAATGTCAGGCGAGTAAATGTCAGACATCAAGCAGGTTACGTCCAAGTTACGTTATGTCTTTTAGAATACTTATCCACTAAAAACAATACAATCTTCAAAAGAAACACCAACATTTGTTTTTTAACAATTTTAAAATCAGCAAACATGCCTGTTAGACAAACTTAAAAGAGGACCTCAATTAACGGCTTCTTGACAAACACTGAAGCTCTGCTAAAGCCTGAGTAGACTGATAAATCAATGTGATGAGCCACTTATTTATCTCAGCATTACAGAGCTCTATTGAAGCAGGCAGTGAGAAGGAAAAAAAATGGTTAGAATATCAGAACTTCATATAAATAATAAGGGAATTCTTCATTAAACACATTAACAGAAGTAAACAGTGTGAAAGTTTAAAAAGAAACAAACGTTTTTCCTGTGCGCCTTATCAAGATGTTTTTTAAATGTATTCTGAATGCGTTACTTTTTTATGCATTATAATGAAATACATTACTGAATTACTGAAAAAGTATTTAGTCCAACCCTGACAGCTGTGGGCTACAGACATATAAATATGGAAAAACCTTGCTGCCATTGCTGCCTCCAGATTTTTCTTTGCTGTAGTTTGAAAAAAAAATCATTATTGATGACAGCAGTACTATGTGGAAAGTCTTTTAGAAGATCTAAGTTCTGATGAAAAAGTATGTCATTAATGTTTCCACTTTAGAAGGGTTAGAATACAGAGAACCAGGTACTGAAAGGTGAAATCAATCTTTGATGCATTAGTGTAAATTAAGGGGGGGGGGGTTGTGTGTGCTATTGACAAGATTGTCAAAACAATCTTGAATTATATTGATTGATTTCATGTCTGTAGGTCCTGAGGCTCAAGGAGATCCCGAAAAGCCCGTCCTCTGGACTATGTTCAATAAGGTGAGTGGATTAAAGCAGATGACTCAGATTACTGAACTGCTGCTACCGTGGCGAAGCCTGGCTCTTCTCCTTTCACTAAAGCAACACAACTTTGTTTCACTTCTGTCAGTCTGGAGAGCTTACTGATAAAACGATACTTAGCGAGCCACACTGACTAAACCTGATAATGTTGAGATGGCAGACGAGAGCTCAGATAGAAGAATACGCAAGTGTGTGGATTTGTGAAGCATCAAATGTGCAGAGGTTCAAATGATATATAGATATTTAGTATGAGTTTGTATTGCATAATATGCTAGTCTCATCAGCACGAAAACAGAGACAGGCAGTTACATGCCCTGAGATATCATCTGAATCTCAGTCAGTAGCTGAGCTGAAGTGGGTTAAAACAGGGAAAACAGTTTCCTGTGCAGAAATGCAGCTCAGCAGGTCTGAAGTATGTATAACAGCAGTGCAGTGCTGTGCAGTAACTTTGCCTGTAAGTGAAGCAGAGAGTGATCTAATATTCATGCAGAATCTTTGTGCTTCTTTCCAGCCCACCAGTGAGAAGGGAACTTGTTTCTGGTTGTGGATAGATGGCATACTGGACCTCATTAAACGATACCTACTCAACATCTGGAATGATGGGTAAGAGAGAAAAAAAAAACAGTAACTTTTTATTTGAAGGCTGCCTACATAGGGACTTAAAACACATGCATAAACACTGACATGAAGCAATACATGAGTGCATGAATAGGCAGTATGAGCAGCCTCTCCTCAAATCCCAAACTGAAGGTATACCTAGTTGTGCCTATATATATATATATATATATATATATATATATATATATATATATATATATCGCTGTTGTCGGAAGAAAACCTTGTATCTCCAAAATGCTAACTTTACAGGAGAAGGAAAAACCTACTTTACTTGTAATGTAAGTCAATGGAACCAGAATTTTTCCAAGTCATTTTGGGCCGTTTCTTTTGGTCCATTCATCATGAAAATGCATTCAAGCTGATAATGTTCTACAAAAGTGGAAAAGTAATTGCTGACTTTGTCTCATCTCTCTAGTCCAGGCACAAGACCTTCGGATTGTATGAGCCCAGGGTCCCGTGGAGAGCTTCAGCTAATGAACAGAGACACTGGAATGGAGTCAATGGTAATAACTTATTGAGGCAGTAAGATGGGCACTATTTGACCCTACAAATAATGAATGACATTCATTTTGATGCTATTTATATTAAAATCTTTGTGGGTTCTTGTTTTTTGGAGTGACTCCTTAAAGGTCCAGTGCAGAAGACACTGGTTTGAGTAATGGCCAGCGCTTTTTGTGAATTTTGGGAGGACTGTGTTTCCACTTGTGCGTTGTTCCTCTGTTTCCTCCTCAGTGATCTACCTTACTACAGTGATGCTCCTTTTCCACACTGCTCTGAGCGTCCTGCTGTCCTTCATATCCTCTACAAGAAGGAGACCTAAGCAGTGGACAGTGAATTGAGAAGGAGAGGATGCAGTAATGTTTATACAGTATAAAATCAATGGGATTTGAATATTGTCACTGTCATATCAAAATCCTGTAATATTTTGTGTTTAATTTTTATTTTTCCATATCTTTTGTGCAAGACAGCCATCCTTTACATGGTGTGACCTTTTCATGATGAATGGACCAATAGAAATGGTCCAAAATTAGTTATATTAAAATCTTGTTACTCTAACTTAAGACCTTTTTTGCCTTCTGTATAGTTACCATTTTTGAGATGCATGTTTTTGTTAGGACAGTGACGATATGATTCCTACCTTACCTTCTTTTTTGTTGGAAGCGTTGTCTGGCGCCGGCTCTGTCGGAGTAGCGCTGAAAAGGCTGGTGTCAGTCATTAGTATCACACGAGTGAATTTACCAGATTGTGTACAACTGTGAAAAGCTTTTTAATTGTGATTCTGTTACTGTGCCCTAAAATATAAGATGATGAAAATATTGCATTCCCACTTTGTTTGAAAAGCACAGCTTTATTTAATAGTGTACATTAAAATAAACAGACTTCATTGCATGGATTATTAGCACACGTACACACACCTCACAGTTTGAGCTCAGTCCAGTTTCATCTGATAAATAAAATCGGAACAGAAAGAGGCACCAGATGCATCCATCACGTTGTTCATTCAAAGTTTCTGTCTCATACTCATTCTATCTATCCAGTGGTTAAAACAAGTAGGTAGATTCTTCCAAACATTATTTGTTCTGTGAGCTGGTTGTTCTGAGCTAATATCTGTTCAGCCTTCCACAGAACATGAATAGCAGATCATCTTTTAAAATTAATATTTTCCTAATGACTAATTTCCTGCAACCTTTCATACTGCTCACGCTGAATTAGTGTAGCAGTGGGTTTGGAGATATATGAAGAAACGAAAGCTATCAGATAAGGAGCGTGGAGAAAGAACAGAAAGCTACAAGCTTGGAAAACAGCTTTTGGCTCTGTCAAATTTAAAGTCTTGGGTCAATATCAGTGTAGGCTTGTGTTCCTTTCCGCCTTCTTTCTAACTCAGTCTTCCCAATTTAATTACTGCCAATTCCACACTATCTAGGCCTCCTTCTATCACACGATGCTACCAAGCAGGGAGCCTGAAGCTAGCACATGCTTCCTCTAAGACATGTAAAGCACAACCACATCTTTTCAAACTGCTGCATAAGCAACATCACTGGACAGCTGCACTAACTGCCCAATCCTGTTACATTGTGTTTCCTCTATCATTGGAAAATTATCAGCTCACGAAATAGCAACTGACAAATAGTGAAGCAGCTGCTAATTCATCTGCATTTCAGTTTGTTTAACACAGGTAAGTTAACGTTAAGGTTTCCTATCTCTCAAACTGAACGTCCACACTTTTTACGGTGTATTTTGCACCTAATAATGGGTAGGTGTATAATTTAAGTAATAAATTAAGGCTACGTCAAAAATATTTTACTTGCTGCAGCTGGTTACATTTCAGTGGCTCATAACCTCGAACACAGTGGCAGTTAACATTCAAACTAGGTTATGTTCAGCTGGTGCAACTGGCTGAAAGAATCCAAGAGAGCATAATTGGCTGTGCTTTCTCATGATGGCCCTACTCTCCCCTAACGCCCAGTGTGGTGATAGCCAATGCGGGCATCTGTACGGCTGTGTCACTCAAGAATCCCCTTCTTTAACACCTTTTAAAGCACTTTCGCTAGTCACAGCCAAATATCCTGCTTGTCATGGAAATTCTATAAGAAGACCCCCTTCCACCCCCCCCAAAATAAAACAGGATTAAATGCACTAGTGGGGTGCTGGAGGTTGATGACATCTGGAAACCATTTTAACACCTGGCCCTTTGCTAACACCTAAGCCCACTCTAACTTGTTCAGTGGAATTTCTGCTAACCGCTGCAGGATGTGTCTCCGTTCACACTCACACACTCCTGAAGACCACCTCTGCTAGACAGGCTTGCCTCATTCTCTTGGCAAAAAGTCAGAGGTGGAAAGACCCCAGCAGTGCTGGTTAACGTTTCAGAAATGACGACATGAAGTAAAATTATGATTAACCTACAGTTTTCTGCAGTGATAAAAAGGCATGTTGTAATTTCTTATTGTATTATATTACTACATAATTGTGTTAATACTAATAAATAAAACATTCAGCATTTGTTTACTCAGTAATATCAATAATATCAATACATTCTCACTCACAGGTCATCAAAACCTGAAATTATGTTGAAAGTGCAGATGCTAGACTTTCAATTAACACCACATCTATGTTTTTAAGCAGTAGAGGAGATATTTTAACTTTGTGAAGTGACCAGTGACTACATATGCAAAAGTCTGGACACCCCCAAATGACATATTTTGTTCATTAAGTGAAAGTAAGTGAACACACGCTCTACAGGGAGCACACTTAAATATGACATTTAGTCCACAGTTTCTATTCATGTGCTGATTTTCACATAATGAGTAAAAAGTAACATAAAATGTGTCATAAGTTTCTCACAGGCCACAGTTTATGTATTATTTTTACTTAGAAATTCGCCAAATGTGCTTTGACCAGGGCAACCCAATTCTATGACCCATAGGGACAGTCCCTGGAAGGTCATTCAGTTCTTAAATGAAGCAGCTGTTTGCTATGACAGCGTTTACTTGGTAGTGCTTATCGCTCACTGGGCCCCCTAGTGATCTATGGCCATCATTCAACCGCTTTGTAAGACAAACAGCAATACATCACCAATATACAGTTTACAGTTATATGTATGTATGTTAGCTGTATAATATATACCTTTTCACTGATTCACATAGAGACAGTTTTTCATACACAGAAAAGAATAGATAGGCATACGAACATACGACTTACGAAACCTGCTAAAAGAAAATGAGATGAAAGAAAATGCCATACGTGCCTCAGACCAACAGCACATCTGTACACTCACTCTAACAATCTCAACTCCCCTGATATCACCACAGAAACCAGTCTTTGGGCTTGTGTAGTGTCATCACCTGCTGTGGAGGTCTATGTCTCCAACATACCGCCCAGATTCTCTGCAACGTTCTCTTTATTTGCAGGTTTCTCCAAAGGAGTGTATTTATTTTGGTACTCCTGAAGAAGTGTTAACACCTCATGATGGCCGAAATGTCTCGCTTCGTCCAGTGGTGTGTTGCCCCACCTACAAGCACAGTTCCAGATTCATTAAACCATTAAAAATTACAAACAAACAAACAAAAATTACAATATCAAACTTGGTTTCTTATGATTATCCACCTGATTCAGCTCACCAGCTAATTAGGAAGACATTCATGAGTTAAACTCATGGAACAGCGTTTGTCTCTGCAGTGCTCTGGCCCAGAAGGAACCCAGTTTGAAACCCAACTTACACCTTTTATATACAACACAAAGTGTCAGAAACCACAGACTTGGTTTGCGGTAGCTGTGCGATGTTTTCCCTGAAAAAACACAGCACAGACCAGCACAGGATTCATGGTCTAAAATGGTTTATGCAGGCCTAGTGCTGGTTAAGCTGGTCACCCAACATCGTCATGCCAGTGGACTAGCATGCCAGCATCCAAAATGCAACATATACTGGTTTTGCTGGTGATTAGCATAATAACTACTGTTGCTGCTGACCAGCATACCAGCATCCAGAACATGTCATATCCTGGCTTTGCTGGTGAATAATTTAAAATGCTGGTCTATGCTGGTTTTTCTAGCAGGGTAAGGCATGCAGTTTGCATAGTGCTAATTAGCAGGGTATAAGCATCCATTACTTGTTAGCTACATTAGCCTCATAGTTCCAGTGCAAAATGAAAGAAGCAAACTTTGGACACCAAACATACATTTAACATAAAGGAAAAACTTCTTCTTTTTACCATCACTTTAACCATTCTCAGTGCACAATTTAGTACTTTCCTGCTCTCATAAATCTGCTGAGCCCATGAAGAGCTTGTTGATTAGCTGAGAAGGTTACATGCTAGAGGAGTGAGACCTGACATGTTTGTTCTGATCCAAGCGGATCGGAATGCGTACTAGTCATTGCTTAGTTTGACTGTAAATAGCATTTGCCTTATACTTATTTGCACTGGCCTAGCAAGCTTAGCTGCATTCTCCCTAGTTATTTTACACTATGGAATTAGAGCTTTAACTTACCGGTCTTTCGGAACAGGATTCACTTTGCAGGCCTCCAAAAGAAAACGCACAACCTCTATATGTCCTACAACCACAGAGAAGAGTTCAGTTAAAGCAGCACTATAGACTTTAACACTGTAGACTATAGCCAGTGTGAGTCAAAGCCGTGAACTCCGGGTAACAGCCCATTCTGCTAAAAATACGACACGGGGGTTCCACCGACTTGAACAAGCTGAAGCTCTACAACAGGTGCTTGTGGAGCACTAAAGGCCTATATCATGAATGACTGAATTTCGAGTTCACTGTATTTGTGACGTCATGCAAACTCACATTTATATATGTATCCACCTATTCAGCTTACAGCACTTTAGTTCCGCCCATTCATGCTCAACCTACACCGATCAGGCATAATACTATGACCTTGTTTTTACGCTCATTGTCCATTTTATCAGCTCCACTTACTATATAGGTGCACTTTGTAGTTCTACAATTACAGACTGTAGTCCATCTGTTTCTCTGCATACATTGTTAGCCCCCTTTTACCCTGCTCTTCAGTGGTCAGGACCCCCATGGACCCTCACAGAGCAGGTATAACATTTGGGTGGGGGATCATTCTCAACACTGCAGTAACACTGACTGTGGTAGTGGTGTGTTAGTGTGTGTTGTGCTGGTATGAGTGGATCAGACAGCAGTGCTGCTGGAGTTTTTAAACACTGTGTCCACTCACTGTCCACTCTATTAGACACTCCTACCTTGTCAGTCCACCTTATAGATGTAAAGTCAGAGACGATAGCTCATCTGCTGCTGCACAGCTTGTGTTGGTCATCCTCTAGTCCTTCATCAGTGGTCACAGGACACTGCCCACAGGACACTGTTGGCTGGATATTTTTGGTTGGTGGACTATTCTTAGTCCAGCAGTGACACTGAGGTGTTTAAAAACTCCAGCAGCACTGCTGTGTCTGATCCACTCAGACCAGCGCAACACACACTAACACACCACCACCACATCAGTGTCACTGCAGTGCTGAGAATGACCCACCACCCAAATAGTACCTGCTCTGTGAGGGTCCATGGGGGTCCTGACCACTGAAGAACAGGGTAAAAGAGGGCTAACAAAGTATGCAGAGAAACAGATGGACTACAGTCTGTAACTGTAGAACTACAAAGTGCACCTATATAGTAAGTGGAGCTGATAAAATGGACAATGAGCATAGAAACAAGGAGGTGGTCATAATGTTATGCCTGATCAGTGTATTAAGAGTATTTCTACCTGGACTGCTTTTTGAATGAGGCATGACACAGAGCATGAGAGAGGTTGGAAAATGGTCATGTAAAAATGAATTATTACTATTTTTGGTACAAAAACCCATTCAAATGTTGTAAGTGGACCATAAAATATAAGTATAGTATAAGATA